TCCGCCGCCGCCGCCGTCTCCCGAGCGAAGTTCACGCCCCCGGCTGCCGCCCAGATATCGCCGTGGCACTCTCCGGTGCCGTACCTCTTCGGTGGCCTGGCAGCGATGCTGGGGCTCATAGCCTTTGCCCTCCTCATACTAGCCTGCTCCTACTTGAAGCTCTCCGGCGACGGCGACGAGAGAGACGTCGAGCGCGGCGGAGCGAAAGGAGACGGCGGATCCGACGACAACGCGCCGCCGGTCTTCGAGGAGAAGTTTCTGGTCATCATGGCCGGAGACCAGAAACCCACTTTCCTGGCAACCCCTGTTTCTAATAGTATCACTAATTCTTGTCTGAATGACGACAGCAAAGGAATGGAAAAGGACAAATTAGGCATTATGGGAAAAGGCGAAGCGGTTCAGGAAAATGGGGATGGAGCCAATGAGTCATCACAAGCATGCCAAGAACAGAGCCACTGAGATTTTTTTTTTTCTTTTTTAAAAAAATCAATAATTATCTGCTCATAATTTTGATCCGTGACCATCTTTTTTTTTTTTCTATGTTTTGTGTGTCTCAATTTTGTGATAGGCCATATGTAAATTTTGCGAGATACTACGGTCTTATCACGGAATCATTCCGTCAGAATTTATAATCGCTAGATCAACTACCCGACGGTTACAATATAATCTAACAGTTACAAATCCCGACAGAATGATTCCATAACGGGATCGTAGCATTTCCCATAAATTTTCCAATGAGAAAAAAAGGAAGACGGTTTATTCCAGCTTCAAAGGCATTTGGAATTGGGGGTCATTTAATTATTTCTTCACAGCTGTAGATTAGTGGAGAGTAATTAGTAGTGGTAATTATTATTCTTTATTAGTTTCATTACTTCCATGCAAGTACAGCTGCGGAGTTTATGGTTTATGCAATTTATTTTTTAATTGCATAGTAATTCGTTGAAATAATAATAAGAAAAAATAATAAAACAATTTGTTACGTGGAATGTGATAAGAATTTCATTAGATATATAATTAATGCGTCCACGAAAAGAACATTACATGCTTATGTCTCAATGAAATTAAAGTGAAGTCCAGCGTAGAGGCCAATTTTGTGGCCTACTATTTGGGGAGCTTAGCTTCTTCCTTCTCGATTGGTCTTCATGAATTGGTTGTTCCTCCTTCGAGTTTAGAGGCTTGGCTTGAGCACGATATCATCGAGGTTTCCTATCCTCGACGAGTTCTAGTTTAGCTTAGTTTTGTTGGAAAAATTGAATGAAATTGTAACTTTACATTAATTTTAACAACTTGCTAATTTAAGTTGTAACTTGATATGAGATATTATATACACAAAGCTAAACTGGTCGGCTTAGCCGGTCGAGAGGGTCAAACTAAGAGGAAACCAAGACAAGAAGCGGGAGGATCGATCATTCAGACAGTCGACCAAGCAGGTGGTCGACCAGTCCGTCGTACGGTCCGAAAGACAATCGAGCAACTCGTCGCTCGACCAGATAAATGATCGGGCAACCTATTCGACCTCAACAGGTCGACCACTTCGAGGACTTAACGCCACGCGGATTGGCCTAGTCATAGGCGCGTGAGGGAGCCTTCAACAGAATTTCAGGAGAATATT